CAGATTCAGCAACGCGGAAGGCACGGAGAGAGAGGCCCACTCGGGGGCGTGTGTGTTTCGAAGAGCGAAAACAAAAAGGGAGAATGGCACAACGACGACGCAACGCACCAGGGCAGCTCGTATGCCGGCGCAGAAGTGGCCACGGCCGAGGCCGAGGCGGACGCCGAGGCGCTCATCGCTCGCTACCTGCGGCGGCGCCGGTGCCGCGGGGGGGGGGGGGGGGGGGGGGGGGGGGGGGCAGAGTTGGCCGCGGCGGGCGGTGCGGTGCGGAGCGAGTTGCGAACGGGGGGATGCGATGGTCTATGCGAAGGCACAGAGTGCGAGTGCCGAGTGCCGAGTGCCGATGCCAGCTCAGGTTCTGAGTGTTGCGTGCCGTTTGCAAAGCGGTGCAAAGCTGACGGGAAAGAGAGGCACAGGCGAGGGGGGGGATGGGATGGGTGAGGGAGAGGAAGGAAGCTCGACACAGCTGCGCGCGCGCACGGCTCCAAAGGCTCGAAGCACTCAACGCGTGCCGCGCCTCGGCCCCGACGCGTCTCCAGCGTGGGAGCAGCATCGCAGGCAGGCGCCAGGCGCTTGCTTCTGCTTGCTTGCTTTGCCTCGCCCAGCGTCTCCTTTTGCCTCTCCTCCACCTCCCCCCACCCGCCCCCTCCATCATGGCGCATCTCACTCCCTTCCGCGCGCACGACCTCTTCCGCTTCAACGCCGTCAATCTGGACCACTGGACCGAGACGTATTCCCTCGCCTTCTACCTCTCCTACCTCGCCACGTGGCCCGACTTGTCCTACGTGCAGCGCGCGCCCGGCGGCGGCGGCGGCGGCGGCGGCGCGAGAGGCGGCATGATGGGCTATGTGATAGGCAAGGCAGAAGGCCGGGAAGAGGGGAGGGAGAGACATGGACACGTCACCGCCATCACCGTCGCGCCCGAATATCGCCGCCTGGGCGTGGCGCAGGGCCTGATGCGCCTCTTGGAGCGCGCCAGTGCGGCCGTGTATCAGGTGCGTGTGTCGTTGTGACCGAGCTGTGTGACGGGCACGGGCAACGATGAAGAGGGTGGGGGGGGGGGTAGTGGCAGGAGAGAGAGAGAGGAGGATGAGAGAGAGCGCGCATTGGTGGGGTTATGGAAGTCGGTGGTAGTGATGCGTGGCAGGGCAAAGTGTGGAACCTTCTGTGCCAGGCT